CTCCAGTAAAACTGGCTAACACCTGGTAACTATAATAAATTAATGAGAACCGAAATATTCGAGGCAGTACAATTCCTGTATAAGTTAGATACCAGCAACTTAGGAAAAATAGTTACCTAAGATTTAATGATAAGAATTATAGTATCAACTTTTCTGGAAAACATTATAACATATAATCGATGACAAAATATTGGCCGCGATGAAGACACGTTTTTTTCAGTGTTAATGTTTTACATGCGGGACATTCGGAGAGGTCGAGAAGAAAAGGTAAGTTACTACCCAATTCTTTCGTTTTACACTACTAAAGATAGTTCTAGCCGTATCCTGAATAGAGGTCTACAGAAGCACGTTGTATTAACGATGTCTCCTGCGAGGGACATCATACTAAACATTAAAGCTAGTTGTTATATACTTCGGAGCTTTAAGTTTCAATGCGGTCTAACAGTTGATAGCGAATTTATTGACAAAAAAAACTCTTTTGCACCCTAAGTTCCAATTGGGTCTTCTATTGATCATGTAGGTCGCAGGAGGCATACATGGTACTCTAAAAATTATTGCAAGGAATAGACCGAAAAATTGTGGAAGCTCTAAATTTTTTGCTGAGATACCATGACGTCTTTACCGATTGGGCACAAATGTAGTTAGGACAAAGCTTATATGGCATGAATCTTAGAGCACTGGGCCCCATTATTCTTTTGAAAATTCTGAAGGAAAGAATTCTAGAGTAAAAAAGTATGGATACAAGCAGCTTTGATGCAGTCAATCATTGAAGAATAGCAAGATTAGACTATATGCACTTAAATATTTGGAATAAAATGGAACATGACCCTTGATTTTCTTAAGGTAGGTATATATGGGGGGCCCATAATCTCTAAGCGTAAAATTTTTCTTAAAAAGCTAATGTAAAGATTGACGAGTTTTTAATTAATGTTTAAGGGGTTAATATTATTTAATAATTTCATTTGGACAAAGGGGAATGGGGTGGGGGGGTTTCTTCTTAAAAATTGGGTAGATGTTTTGAAATTAGATGGATCAAATTTCCGTGGATAATGCCAGATGCTCACAACCCGATAGGTGAAAGATATCATGAACTGACTAAGTCTATGATTAAGGAAGTAATGAATTTTGCTGATACCATATTATATTATGACTTATAAAGCATGGTAAATTTCTGGGGCAGAAGTCTCAGTCTTGGTAAGCTAATACTTTGTTATTACGATCAATAATCAAGTAAACTTAACATAAACTCTAAGAACTCCTACCAAGACAATCTTTTCGTTTCTATACGAATGAAAGTTAACAGTAGGAACTCTACTGAAGCAAAACCTTCCCGCATGGGAGAAATTAGAAATGACTTCGGTGTTGATATCGACAGAAAGAATTTCTCAACTCGGACGATATTTTAATAGTAGTGAACCTCTCAACGTTGTTGAAAAGAATGTTAAAAGTTGGGAGGCTTTCGAAGTAGTAATTAAGAGGATATGTTAAAGTTAGTAACAAACTCATCTGCTGGTTTAGGTTTTGACCTTATTGAGAACCAAAGTGTAGGCATTGCTAAAGTGGATGAATGACAAATATTTTACAATGATACTAAAACTAAGGTCATAGGAAACATATTATTGCACTTGACGATGGTGAAAACTACAAGGACATAAAATCAAACAACTTAGAACCAATAAGAGTGTTTGTTAAGCTTTAAAGAATAAAAATTGGTCCGACACGGCTCGCAAACTCCAAGTGTTAAATTTGAAAAGCACAAGGAGCATAATAAAAACGAGGATATCATAGGGTCTCTTAAAGTGGGAAAGAAGACGAATTTATGATGTAGGTAGCAACAAATGGAGGTTTTGTCACCTCTAACAAGAAATAGCTACAAATTTAAATTAAAAACAAATTTAATACACAAAAATAGTATTTTCATTGGTCATGACACTGATATTGATTACTTCCTCAAATTCTTTTTATTAGTGTGGCAAAAAAAATTACTATAAAAAATAATTTTCTTAAGTGTGGTAACTAATATTGATTAACTCATCGATTCCGTTATTATAGTATAATTACTGCGAAGCTTTTGTAATGAAAAACAGTCATTTATCAACCCCGTCAACTCAGTGTTGACCTTCGGCTATGGAAGAGGGCGGGAGTCGTGATTTAAAGACATCAGAGTCTCACAATCAGAGCTGGTGAAGTGGTGACACATAAGTTTGGAGGCGGTTTGTGGACACTCGTGGGATTTTATTAATTTTAGTTTGATTTTCGTAAGGGGCACTAACGATCCAACTAATTCTTCGCCTATCTGGGTGGACGCCCAGAGCCTTTAATTTTAGAAAAGCCACCGGCGCTGTCTTTCTTGATGTTGAAAAGTCACCACGAACTACGGATTGAGTTGCTAACCACACTCTTCGAAATACAACCGTCGCCCTCTACGAACGGATAGCTGGCCGCTCTAAGCGCCTATTAGCGGAAGAACTCACTTACAAGTTGAGGGAAGCGCACAATACCGCCACTCACGCGAGCACTCTAAGCATGACAGTTGAAACCAAAGTTGGGAGTCTTTATTGGTCATGAAGGGCACATGTTAAGATAATTATCTTACTTGTACTCGTGGAAAATTAAAAACCTTCTTGAGAGCAGGGTTTCCGAAGTTGTTAACTCCAACGAGCACCAGGAAACGCTTTTAATACATAGATAAATAAATAATAAATGCAGACAAGCTTTATTATATTATTTATTATCATATCACTCTTGCATATTATTATTTACATATTATATATATTCTTTTATTTTTTATATTTTCCTAAATTCTAATAGCCTCGAATCAGTCATTAGGTCGCCACACCTACATAGTAGACGTAGTCTAGTTTGATAGTGCGAATGCCTACATAAACGCTAATTTTGACGTCATTCTGCCAATTAAATACATTCGGGTTTCCTTTTAAATTATAATGTTCGACTTCAAAACTAGAGTGCTAGTAAGTTTGATCTACTTGAGGAGAACTTGTTAATACTGTAGTTTATTCGGTAAAACCTTCATTCAGCTTGGAGAAACTAGTTCTAACCTAATTATTATTAATATGTAATGAACAAGAGTTAATAGCCTCATGGAACTAATGGATTGGCCAACAAACTGAGAGATTGATGTTTTTAGTTAAAAGAAAGCTTTACATGGAGACAAACAAGAGGGCAAATGGTATTTTGAACTTAAAACAAAAAGCTTAAAAGGATGCAGGTCAGCGATCCAAAATCATTAATATTAGGTAACATAAAGGTTAACTTTAGAATAATTAAATTGATAATTTATCGGAATTAACACGAAGGAGATCCCCACACTATTGAGTTTTGGTCAAGCAGCTATGGTTGAACGTAATATAGAAAACTTAAAATAATCAGTTCTAAACTTCTATCTTAACCACTTCATAGCGTTTGCAACCCAGGTTCCATGGGCACTTGTACATACTATGAATTATTGGATCTTATCAAAGGATTCGTTAATTAGACAAAACCTGACATCTCAATAATTAAGCTCAGGGTCCAAGTTCTTACGGCATTATACACTCAGAAAAAGGCATACAGGAATTTAGATGGATATACGGAAATAAAAAATTATAACGACTGAATTTATCTCTGTAAACAACCTATTCTAACAATTCAATCTCAATATAAATATTTTATAATATTGGCTAAGAACTTAATATTTAATAAAATGTTGAAAGTGTCAAAGTAGCTTTTAAAACGGGCTACCGACTCAAAGGAAATAACGATAATAAGAGTACTGCTTAAAAGTAAAAGATAACAAGTACTTAATAGTAAATGCGTATTTAATGTCACAAAAATTGTCAATCTTTAAGAATGAGCACTACACCACCGCTTTATGGAGTTAGTGAATAACGAATTGGTAACAACTGTACTCTAATAAAGCAAAACTTTGCTTCTCTATCACAATATGTGTACCATTAGGGGAGGCATTGCAATTTTAAGCTGGTCAAATAGTGTTTTGTATATCCAAGAGCATCACCTTCAATAGGGATAGCTGATTTTATCTTCTCGGTGATCAGATTTCTACCCTGCTTCAAGTGCAACAATAGAGAATTGCCACGCCTTTTATCAAAGGTATCACAGTTTGCGCAAAATAGTGGACAGTGCCCTATGACAGCTCGAGTAACGAAAGCAAGGATGCCCTTTACAACCGGATAGATCGCAATACTAATCTGTTTTATAACCAAAAAGAGAAATACGAGCCATGGGGCAGTGCACGCATAGTACTCCCTACCCTTGTGACCAATTATAATTTTACGCAGTCATAACTCAAAGAGCTCGAATATTCAATGCTTGTTATTTCGATCGAGCTATCAGAAAGCGCTGTGCGTCAATAAATAATATGAATAGTACTTTTTCTCGGTAAAAAGTATTATTCAGTTCGATTTTTTTCCTTTGAAGTTTATTTAAGTTCTTGTGATCTTCCATGACTTTAGAGGAAGCTGAAATAAATAGAGAGAAGTTTTTAAAATTAAAAAAGATTTTGATGAAGCGCTTAACTTTGCGCTATGTGGAACAGAGAGATGAATTTTTGATTGGTATTAAGGATAAAATAGAGTTAATTTTATATATATTTTTTATTTTAAAAAGTATAAGATTGTTATTATAAAATTCTAAGGTATTAAATGAAATTTATATTTAGTTTTCAGGTTATGTTAGTTTTACTTTAGTTTGTAAAAGGTTTGCCTTTGTTTGCTTGCCTTACGGCTTAACGTTCTTACTTATCATAATACAGTAAATTATTTCAAACAAGCGGTCTTCTTAATTATTTGATAAACTTTATATGTAATAGTGAGGTTTATACTTTTTTCAAAAGTGCTTTTATGAATGGTGTTGGTAATTCATTATTGTTGGTGGGTCCTGATGGCTCTTCGAAAAATACGGTTTACTTAAGCAAACTTTTATTTTTTTATTTATTTTGAATATTCTTTATATTTATAAAGATTATTTTAAAGGCGCTAGAAAAATTGACAAAGTTTAGTTCTCCCCAAAGTAATTGTTTGTAGTTATTTACGACTTTAGTATTAATTTAGCTTTCTATAGATTATATTCTTGTATCTTTATACGGAGTTTTGGATAAAGATTTAAAACAATCTGTGAAATCTATTTTACGTCAATTGAATATTCATAGTCAAAACGAAATATTTATGGAATTCAGCGATCAGCAGGAGGAAAGTGACGAAGATTCTATTGCTAATTATAATGTATATTTATACAATTTTATAAAAGTTTAATTTAAATAATTATTTTTTTTGGAAAATAAAATTAGATTCTTCATTATAAATTAACTATTTCGTAAACTTATTTAATTTTATTAATCTTTATCACTTACTTTCTTTATAAATTTATTATTAAAGTTTCCTATTTTTCACAACCTTTATTGAATAGGTTAAGGAAGGATCCGTTAAAGAAGTATTGGATGAGATTTATAAAATTATGTCTTCAGAAAATTTCATTAGGAAGCCTGTTTGTTTATATATTTATATAAACTTTTATAAAATTTTAAGAGATTTTTAAGGTTTTGATTTTATTTTTCTTAAATTTTTGTTATGATTTTTTAATAATTAATTTGATTTAATGTTTTAAATTTTTATTTGAAATTTTTTTTTTGAGGTAGTCGTTACAAATTACTTTTTTTAAATTTTTAAGACGGATAATTTTTTTATTATATTTTCCAAGTTTTAAATATCTTTTTCAGTAAATTTTTTCATAAAGTTATTTGCTATAATTTTTAGTAGAATTAATTTTATTGAGAAGTCATTATTAATTTATTATATTGAATTCTACAGTTTTTGATGTATTTCTTTTATATTTTTTTAAAGAATAATTTTTTTTATTTTTGACTTTTATCATTAATTATTTGTTCTAATTTTGAAATAAATTTTTTTGTAAATTTAATTCATTCAATTTTTTATTCTAATCTAGAAAAAAAATTGGATTTAAGAAATTTGTTATTAATTTATTCTTTTTAAAATTTTATAGACGAGTAATTTTAAATAAAATTTAATAGTTTTTATGGATTTTGTATAAATTTTTTAAAGAATAATATTATATTGTTTGTAATTATAAATTTTGGATTTTATTTTTTATAGTTTTTTGTTGTAATTTTAAAATTTTATTTTTAATTGTAGTTGTTATAATTTATTTTGTTTAAATTCTTATTTGAAAAAAAATTCTGTATTGAAGGAAATCGTTATTAATTTATTCTTTTGGAAATTTATCAGAAGAATATTTTTTTTATAGATTTCAATAGTTTTAAATTTTATTCTATTTATTATTTATTATTGTATTAAAAATATTTTATGTAAATTTATAACAAAATTTTTATTAAATTTACTTAATAATAATTGTAAAATTTTAATAACTAAAATTAAGTTCTTTTATAATTTTTTTAATTTACTAAAAATTCTATCGGATTTTAAATGAAACGTTTTTATGATTAAACAATTTAAGTTTCTTTATAATAACTTTTTTTAATTATAGCTAAAATTATTTATAAATTTGGATCTTCTGGCGTTAATTAAAAAAAATTTTATTTTTAGAAATAATATTAATTTAAATTATTTTAGTAATTTAAAAACTCTTTTCTTTTTCTAATTTATTAATAATATTATTATAAATATATTTTTTTCTTTATTTATTTTCTCGGAAATTATCTTATGAATTTATTTTTTTTAATTTTAATTTACACCTTTTTCAGATTATTTTTTTTCTTCGAGATTTGAATAAATTTACTTCAACTACTCGACAAGTAAGTTGTAATTTATATTATCCTCTACTGCTTTATTAGTTCATTATGATTTTTTAAAGATTATTAAAATTTAAAATAAAATTTCATTTTTAAATTTATTTGAGTTTTAATAATTTTATATTCATCTAAAGTTTAAATTTTAATAATTTTAATGTTTTTTTAAATTTTATTTTATAAATTTATATTAAATTGATAATAAAACTTTTATTTTAATTTTCGTTTCCACTAATTTCCTTAACTATTTTTTTTGGTTTTATTTATAAGAGAAGTTTTTGGATTATTATTTTAAGACTGTATTAAAATGTTTATATATGAAATATTTTTATTAAGCAAAGTCTAGATATACAATAAATTTTTAAATAATATTTTTTTTAACGAATTTATTTTTGTTTAAATGTTATAACTAAATTATTATCTTAATTATAATTAAAGTTTTAATAAAATATTATAATTTAATAATTTTTTTTTGAAATAATTAACGAAAAGTTTAACATAAAAGTTTATAGAAATATTTTTTATTATTATATTAGTAAAAGTTTATAAAGTTAAGTTTACTATATGTCTATTTTTATTATATACTTTTTAAAAATAAATAAATTAAGAAAGTATTATAATATTTTATAAAAAAACACTTCTAAATTTTTTTTAAAGACTTAAATATTTAGAGTAAAATTTCCTAATAAGTATAATAAAAAAATTTCTTGATTGTTAAATTTCACTAGTCTTTAGCCTCAAAACTAATATATACTGTAACCTATTAATTATTTTATATTATAGACTTTAATATATTATAATATAGAATTATGAAAAACCTAAAAATACAGTAATAATTCGAACATAATAATTATTAAGTAAAAAAGAAGACTCTCTTGTGCGCGCTATTTCATAAAAATATAACACCACACTTAGTCCTGAGTGTTGAGCCCTTGCGTCCACCTTAAAAAAAATAAGAGATAAATTACTTATACTTGTGAAAAGTGCTAATAAATTGTTGGATAATTGCTACCATCGAACAATAATTGCTATTATATAACTTTCGTAGTGATGAGCATTTTATGTCCTGAGTTAGGCGCAATACTAGTATATATATTCACTTATTTATTCATCTCGTTTTGCTTCTTCCTTTTGCTACGTGGGTTTTCCTTATTTTTATTTTGAGGCCGTCTAGTTTATACTATTAAAAATTATGAAAATTTTATTATTATTATCATTAATAAAATATCACTTTTTTAAATGTTCTACTATTAATAGATTTTACTATACAACCTTTTGGACTGGACTGTGTCTTCCACTCTTCCTGTTTGTGTTATTGCAGCCGATTCTCAAATGGTTTATGTTAATAATAATAAATAACATTAATATTAATTTATAAATTTTAATAACAATAAAAGTACTAATGAAAACAAAAATGATTAATAATAATATAACAATTATAACAACAACAACAACAACAATAATAATAATAATAAATTAATAAAGGAACATTTATAAAATAATAGTAAATAAATTCAATAAGTGGGAAAGAAAAAAAATTCTAATGAAAAAATTAAATTAATATATTATTAAATAAATTTTTGAATATTAAAATTTTGTGAATTATTAAAAATATAGCCGAAAATTATAATTATAAATTTTTTTTATAGTATACAATTAATAAATATATAAAAAATAGTTATATTTATGATTTAATATAGACTTATAATAATAATGAATTTTTAAGTAAATAAAAAGTTTATAAAACTAATATTTCATTCACATGATTTAAAAAAAAAATAAAAGTATTTTTAAAGAAACGAAGTATTAAGAAATATATTATATTATAAATAATAATAAAATTTTTTATAAAAATATTAAGTAAATGTTAATAAAAATCATAATAATAGTATTAAAAATATAATGCTGGCACTAAAATATTTTATTATTAATTTTTTTTTTTTAAATTCTAAATAAATATTAAATAATTGTTAATAAAAATTATAATAATAATAAAAATAAATAAAAATAAATAAATAGTAAATAAAATATTTAAAATAATAATATAAAATATTTTAAAAAAATAAAATTTTTTATTTCCAAATAAATAACAAATAAAAATAAAAAATTCTAATAATAATGAAAATTAATAAAAATAAATAATTAATTAAAATAAATAAATTATAAATATTAATAAAAGATAATAATTTAAATAAAAAAATAAAATTTATAAGTAAAATTTATCTTTATAAATATAAAATTATTGAACGTTTCTTGTTATAAACTTTATATCAGCAACACTAAATATAATATAAAAAATATTAATAAAAATATTTAAAGCATATAATTAAAGAAATAATAATAAAAATTAAAATATAAAAAAGAAAGTAAATAATAATTAATATTTTTAATAATAAGTTAATAATAATTATTACAATTATATTTATAATTAATAATTATATTAATAAAAATAAATTAATATTAATAATTATAAATAAATTTTAAAAAAAAAAATGAAAAAAATATGAGAAAATTTTTCCGTAATAATAAAATATTTATTAAAAATAAATGCGTATATACAAAAATTAATAATATTAATAAAGAAATAAAATAATAGTTATAAAAAATTTGAAAACTCTATATTATAGCAAATTTAATAAATTAAAATTAAACAAAATAAAAAATTATTATAATAATATCAAAGCATAATAACAAAAAAGTTTTTAAAAAGTTAATATAAATAAAAAAACAATAATGAAAGTTATATTAACAATAATAAATAAAAATATCAAATAAAATAATTAATAAAATTATTAATTTTTTATATGAAATGATAATAAATGTAACCAAAAAATTATTATAGCTATTAAAAATATTTAAAAAAAATAAATAATAACAGAAAAATATATTAACCAAAAAAATAGATATTAATAGAACGTAATTATGATAAAAATCATATTAATAATAATATTAAAAGAAAATAAATATTATTTTTTATTTATAGAAAATATATTATTATAGTAATAAAAATAAAAATAATAATAATAGAAGTTTTATTAAAAATAATAAATATAAATAAAAAGATAATAATGAAATTTATATTAATAATGAATAATAATATATAAGAAAAATAAAATAGTATTATTTTATTTATAGAAAACTCTAGTAAACGTAAAACAAATTTATTATAACAATAAAAATAATAAAAAATAAATAATATGTAAAAACTAATAAAATTATAATGACAAAAATATTTATTTATAAATAAATAAATATTTTTGTCATTATGTCTTGTTTATATATAACTACTTAATAAAAATTATAAAAGTTATTATTATAAAAAATAATAAATATAATATAAATTTTATAAGAATATGTGAAATATATGAAAAAAATGATAATAATAAATAAAAAATTCTTTAAAGAATATATTATAATCCCTTTTAAATATATAAGCAAATAATTATATATAAAAAATTATCTTGACGAATAAAATATTTTTAAAGGTAAATAAATAATAATGATAGAAATATATGAGTTGCATATAAATCTATAAACGATAATAAATAAATATAGATCTAAATAATAATATATAATATTATATAAAAATAATATTTTATATATTAATGATTCATAATAATAATAATAATATAAAATTTATATAAGAAATAAAAAACTTTTAAAAAGTTAATAATAAAAATATATCAAAATTAATATAAAAAAATAAATATCGTACATAAAATATATAATAAAATAAATATAAACAATACGTAAATTTTTTATATAAATAAATTATTAAATAAAAATAAATCAACATTCTAAAAATTGATAAAAAAAAGTATATACTTTATAAACTTTTTTGTTAAAATAAATAATAAATATATACTTTTATTATAAATCTAAAATAAATGAGCAAATAAAACGGCGTTGCAATAAAAATATTAAGTATAATATGAAATATAAATACATATATATTATATTTATATATAAAAATATTAGTAGTATGTAAGTAAAAGTAAATAAAATATATGGAACTTGGTATAAAAAAATACATACAAAATTTTTTCGGCCATAATAATTAAATATAAGAAAATAAGAAAACTTTTGCGATAAAAAATAATAAATATAATATTTATATTATTAATAAATAAATGAAAAATGTTATATTTATATACAAAAATATTAATACGTAAACAAAAAAAAATTTTATAGTAGAAATTGTTATAAAATTCATATGAAACGTTTCCAGCAACAATATTAAATATAAAAATTATATAATTTATAATAATAAATAAATAAAAAATAACTGGAATTTTATTTTTTCAGGATATCACCGAAACTTTTGAAAAACGCGTAAAGTCACGTTTTTCTAAGAGAATTCTGTACACTTGTCATCTCAGCTTTGAAAGTTTTTATTTTTTTTTTGAGAACTTCTTGCTTCTTCCTGGAGAGGAGACTTGGAATAATCATGTTAAAGTATTGATAATTATAATAATAATAATATTATTATTAATAAATAATATATATTTATAAGAAACTTGCAGAAGAGGTGAGCACCAAACAACTTATTAAAAAACAATACGATGTTGATCCGACTTTGGATGGACTTAAAACACTTTTAGTGATTATTATTATTATTATTATTATTATTATTATTATTATTATTATTATATTTAAATCGAGTACTGACAAGTGTTTTATTTTTAAATAAATAATATATTTCATTAAATTTATGGGTTTATTATAGCATAAATATATTTTATTAACGATAATAATAATACTATATACAGTGCTAGTAAAATTGATAATAAACTTATAATTATAAATAAAATTTATCCGCGGAGAGAAATATAAACGAATTAAAATAAAAATAAATTTTTATTATTATAAATAACTCATAATTTAATAAAAACTGGAGAAGTTTAAGGTTTTATATGAAATTAACAGTTGAAGTAAAATAATAATAATAAATTTTTTATAAAAAGAAGAAAAATTCATTAAAAAAAGTAAACGGAAGAAAAAATTTATAACGGACAACACAAAATATAATGAAAACAAGAAAAATTATAATTAAACTTTTTGTGAAGGATTTAACACGTAAAGTAAAAAGATAATAATAACTTGGTAGTAAAATTTTAAAAAAATAATTATTGTGATGAACTTTAAACGAATCAAAAAAAAATAAATTTATTATAATTTTAAACAAAATTTAATGAAAACCAAATAAGGAAAGTTAAAGTTTTTGTGATGGATCCACAGTTGAAAAATAATAATAATAATAAACTTTAAGTAAATAGTACAAAAAATATACGTGAAGAATTATTACTACCCAAAAAAATATTATTACAATCCCTATCACAAAATTTAATGAACACCAATAAAATATTATAATGAAGTTCAACACTTAAAAACTACTACTAATAATATTTATAGTAGTAATAATAATAAACTTATAATAAAAAGTACATTAAATTCACTTGAAGAAATATAGCGAATCAATAAAAAATATGACAATTTTATAACACAAAATTTTATGAACAAAAAATTATTAAATGGAAAAAAATTAATAATAATTATAATACTTTTTTGATATAAAGGTAAATGTTTTGTGTCATTTGAGTGCTTCAATGACTTTTCAGCTCACTTCGAAGTTAATAAACTAATGTTTCCTCCAGCAAACTTTCAGTAAAACTCGAGCTATACTTCAGTGTTATTATTATTATGATTATATTCATTATTATTACTATTATTATTATTTAATTATATATTTTTTATACTTTATTATTATTACTGTGTATATAAAGTTTATTTTTTTTACTAAATATTATTGTATTATGTATAAGTAACTATTTTATCTTTATTAATATTAAATTTAAATAATGGCTATTCATTATATATTTCATTATATTGTAGATATTAGTTCTTATTATTTTATATATAAAGGGCGTTATTACTATTACTTTTCCGAATATATTATTTTATATATGAAAAGGTATACTTTTCTTATTAAGATAATAACTGTTTTTTTAATTTAATAAATGACCTTTTACAAATTTCTTTATTTTACTAGTAAATATGAGTTGGTTTTTTTACTCCTTAACATTAATTTCATATATAAAAAAGTATATTATCATTAATTTTTTACTAGTTTTTATTATTTATAAATGGAAAGTTATACTTATCTTATAATATGGTTATATATTTTTTAAAATTACTACATTTCACTAGTATATATGTGTATTACTTATAAACTTTTGATTAAATATATATTTTATTATTATTATAAATAAAAATATTTAAGAAATAAAACGTTTACTTCCTCATTACTGTTATTATTTGTATAAAATATTTTTTCAATAATATTTATTTTTATGATTATTATTTATTCATTATACTTTTAATTTATTTATTATATTTATTTATTTAAAATAATTTTGTGTAGTATTTACTTTAATTTATTTATTATTTAATTTAAGTTTCTAGTGTAATGAAGCTAATAAAAAATTATAATAAGTAAAAAAAAAGAAAACCCAAAGTGAATTATTTTTTTAGCACTTCGCTAATACTTTTTATATATCTTTGGAACTCGTTGTAATATTAGTAACAGTTATTATTATTATTATAATTTTTATTATATTTTTAATGAATTTTATAGCCATTTCTGCTTTGGAATTTATTTTGCTAGTCTCTCTTGTAAACTGCATGGAGACGTTCCACGTGGAGGTAACTTGCGCCTTTTTTTTAGTGAAAAACTTTTTAACAAATAAAAAAAATATGAAATATATTTTCCGGTAGTATTAATATTTATATATTTTTCCTATTATTATAGTTAATAATAATAAAATTATAATAAATATAAAAATATATATATTTTTGTTTTACTGTAATAATTATACTCGATTAAAAATACTTTTTAATAATATAACAAAATAATAAAAAACATTCCAAAGTAATATTTTTTTTTAATAACATTTATTATACAAACTTATTAATGATTACTTTTAACTTTTTTAAAACTTTCTAAAATAATATAAAAAAAACTATAAGTATTATTGATCGCTTTATAAAACTATAGCATAATAAAAATATTCTACAATAATTATTATTTATTATTTTATAAAAAACATAATAACAATTTTTAATTTATTTTTATTATTATTTTTATTTTATTTATTTTTTATCATCATTATATAATAGTTTATAATATTTACGTTTGTAGAGAGTAAACTTTGAAATGGTTTATAAAAACTACGAGAGTTTTTCATTGGCCTCCAAAAATTGCGTGCAGCATTACGATCGTTTTATTGCTCTGAAAGTTATTATTATTATTTTTGCTATCAATATAATATATAATTATTATATTTTTTATAATTATATATTATAACTGCACAAAAAGTTATTATTTCTATGTTTATTATTTTCACTTTTAATATTATATATAATGATTACTTCTCTAAAAGTTGTTAATATTTTGTTTACTATATTATATATTTTTATTCACTTGAAAGTTATATTTGTTATTATATATTTTATTATTAGTATATATTATTGTTGCTCTAAAGGTTAATAATCATAATATTGCTGCTTTTATGTAATTATGAGTACTATTATTATTATAATTATATTTTTGCTCTTAAAGTTTTCGTTATTAATATTGTTATTATAAGGCTTTTGAAAAGTTGGAGCTTCTGGAACTTATAAAAAGTTTAAAAACAGAAAATACTTTAAAGGAATATCGCGAAGTGAAGCTTCTAATAGACCCCGAGCAAATACGGTAGGAAAAGGACTAATCATATTAAATTAAGCCCGTGGCTGTTCACGTGGTATTTGCATTAGTAAAATTTTAGGGCTTTTTACACGTGGGAAGTAGGATTTGCGCCTTAATGATTTTTTTAAAAAATCATTTTTTAAATCCCCTTTTGAGCCATTATTAAGTATAATTTGCACGCTGGAGGATTTGTACTGTATAGATCTTCAAATAAGTAAAAAAGAACCATTTTAACCCTACTTTGTACAGTTAAAAATACATGGGCCTATTTTAGTATATCTTGTCTGCCGTAAGATTTGCACTTTAAAAGTATTTTAAAGAAGTAAAAAACCTATTTTTAAACCGCTCTGAACCACTTATGAGGTGGGCCTATTTTAGTTATCTTTCACATTGATTTACTAAATAAGTAACAATTTTTTACCATACTTTCTACCACTTTTAATATATGAACCTATTTTAGTTTCACGTGTTTTAATGCTAATATAATGCGCGGCCAACATTCGTATAACCTACTACCATAAATTAGCTTTAAAGAACGCATTATGAGCATGTGGTGAAAGCCCCTTTCTCGTAGCTATTAGCAAACAATATAGTTGAGGCGCTAATCATTGCTTCAATAAAAAAAACTGTACCAAGTCGCCCAGAAGAATTTTTTAGGGCCATTTTTTTGTTTATATAAAGTTTATTTAATAACTTTTCTTTTTTTTTTTAAACCTTTACAGGAAGCTGAAAAACTTATTATTTTTATTGTGTTTTTATACTTGTAATATAATAATAACTATAAGCTTGAAATCGTTACAATTTTATATTATCTAACTAAACTTTATTAATTTTGTTATTTATAATATTATAAAATATTTGTAAACTTTTAATATTAATTAACCTTTTTTACTAATTTTTTTTCGATTTTAACCAATTTTACTTTTAGTGCGCTTCGTAAAGGAAATAATTAATTTTAAGAAAACCTTTACTATTACTATTTTATATAGCGAATTGTTATTAGTTAATTTAAAAAATCTTTTATCTTTTTATTATTATCCTATATCACCGTTATTAAGAGTATATTATTATTATTATTAAATAGAGAAGCCGCCAGTTCACATCCACACTGTCCGATCGCTGTCATCGAGTGGACCACTTTAATTAATTATTAAAACAATTCAAAAGAAATAAAGATTTAGTCAAGCTACTAAGAAATTTTTTTAGTCGAATTTGAATAATAGAAGTTGACGTTTTTATATATATTTACGTCAAATAGCTGTGAACATGTGGGTTAGGCGATAAGTTTTGAAGGAAAACTTAATTATATTAATAAGAAATTGCATAGCTTAATTATAAAACAAATAATAATAAAATATAAACTTTATAGAACGTATTACATTTTTTAGGTTTTTTAATACAATATTAAAAGTTGTGGTTGATAATATAATTTATTTTAAAATATATTTTTTTTCTCAAAAATAGTTTCTAAAGTGTGATAGAAAATTATATAATATAAAAATTATCAACAGACTTTTTTATTTTAATACTGAATTACAAGATGAAATGATAATTTCACCTAATTTTCATTTTAAGTGCGATAAGCCTTTTTTTGATGGCAAAGTTTTATTTAGGTTAAAGCATTATGAAGGACAGACAAACGCATTAAAAAAGTAAAAAAATTTTTTAATTAAAGCGAGAAAGAGGAAAGCTCTTTCGTGCTAATTTTCTCTGTAAAACTTTATTGTAAAAACGGTATTCATTTTTTTTATAATTTGCATTTTAGCAGTAAATTTCGAGTGTTAATAATTTATACTTTTATAATTTTTTAAGCATAAGTACTGAAATTAAATTGCTGAAAAAGAAGGGAAACTTTGCAAAGATTAGTAACTAAGAGGGGATAAAAGAAAGCCGGATCAGGCAGATGTTTTAATAATATTCCATCTTGAATTATTTAGATTATACTAAAAGTTACATGAAAAAGTTTAAGAAATTCTGAAATCAATATGATTTTTTTTTTAAGATTTAATAAGAAAGTTATAGAAAACAAACTTTTAAGTAGAATAAGTAAAAAGGAAAGTGTGCAAACCATTATTATTAAACTAAAGGACTTCTTCGCCCATCTTAAAAAAAGTATACTTTACAAAACCATTTATTAAAGTTCATCTACTTTTCTTTCATTCTAAAATGTAATTTTTATGCATCTTTATTTATTTACCAACGACCTAAAAAGAACCGTGACAGTATTAAGAGGACAAAGTTTAGCCTAAGATAAACAAATAAAGTTTCGAAAATATCTTTTTTATATGTAAATCTTTAGTTAGTAGATATTATATATATGTATATATATTATTAAATAATATTTTAACTTTAATTAAAATAAACTACACTTATAAAATATACTATAAAACAAATATTGGTTTACGATAATTTTGTAAAACTGTTTTTAATTAAAAAAAACATCTCTGGTTATGTAAATCTATTTTTTTTTAAATACAATATGATCGCAAGGCACTACACGTATTTTTAGACTAGAATAATACAAAGCTAAAAGTATTTTAATTAATAATAAAAAAATAAAAAAAATAACTAGTACTTTTTTGTTTAAAGAGATTACTTATTTTAGAAATTACTTTAGTTTTTAGCCACAGAAATACTTTCTGTTATCTTTTTTTTAAAACTTGTTACCAACATTTTAATTTTTTTTAAAAACTTTTAAGAGTTAATTATGGAATTACTACAAAGTCTTGAAATGAATGCTTTAAATAAATATCACTATGACGGCACAAATTATATATATGGAACAGCAGGCTTTAGGATGAAGTTGTTTTTTTTTGATAAAGATGAAAAGCTTTATAAAGAGATTTTATTTTTTTTTTTAATTAAAAAAAAAACTTTAGAGCTGAGTTGCTACTATGTGTCATGTATCGAGTGGGTTTAGTTGCTGCATTACGTTCCGTATATTATCAGGGAAAGTGTGTGGGTGTTATGATAACGGCTTCTCATAATTCTGAGGAGGTTATCAGAAAATTTTTTAAACCCTTTTTTTTTTAAAAATAAAAAAACTTTTTTTGCCCTACTTAAATTTTTTTATAGGATAATGGAGTTAAAATAGTAGATCCCTTAGGAGATATGCTTGAACAAGAATGGGAAAATGCCTTAACTAAAATAGCTAATACTCCGGATGAGCTACTAAAACAGAGTATACTGATTATTTATCTATTTATTATTCTTATAAAAAAGTGTTTAAATATGAATTTAGTATGGTTTATTTTAAAAACTTTGTTTTTTTTTTACTTTTAAACTTAAAATTTAGTTGGATGGGCTTGCAGCTTATATAATAATAGTTATATGTAAATATTTATTTAGTTGTATTTAGCTTTAACTTAATAATAATAATAACAATAACAACAATAATAATAATAACTATAAGAATAAATATACTAACTAGAATAATACTGTCAATAAGTAACATACAATTTTATAACGGTGTATAAACAAGTAATAACATCTAAAAAAAAATACTTATGTAATATAACAAAAGACTTTAAGAAATATTTAACAAAAAAAAATAATTGAAGAATAACGAATTGAATAGTTTTTAAATTATTTATTAGGTAATCTTTTCTCATCTATATCTTTATTTATTAAATTAAAATAATTTTTTTAATTAAATAAAATAAAATAATAATAATTTATATAAAAAAGAGTAGCGGTACATCTAAAAAAAATTAATTACATTTTGTCATCTTAAAAATTTCGTCTTATAAATTTATGTTTTTAGAAAAAAGAAATATTAAATAATAAAATTTATAATAAATTAAATTATTTAATATATAATAAATATATAAAATAAATAATTAATAAAGTAAAAAAAAATAAATAAATGATAAGTTGTAAATAGAAGCTGTACATATTTAATTATTATAAGTAAATTTAAAAATTAATTTTTAATAGCTATAATCGATTTTGTGATTGAAAAAAAAATCGGCATCAACCAATTTACTCCTTCGATTGCTATCGGCCACGATAGCAGGTTAGTACGTTAAACTTTTTCTATAGTAAAATTTTACAAGTTAATTTTACCTTTTTAATTTTATTATTTTTTTTTAAAAATTTAGTTGTAAATTTTGAAAGTTATTACTATGAAATTCAAAACTAATTTTATTTTATTTATAATAAATTGAGTTTACAAATAAATTTATTTACTATAGAAATTAATAAAATATAAATTTTCATTTTCCTTTTCAAAATTTAATTTTTGTTAATTAGAAAAAAAATTATAATTCTCTTCTTAAAAAAAATAATTTCGTATTTTTAAATTTATTAGTATAACATTTTTAACTTAAATTATTGTTAAAAACAGTTAGAAGTAAAATTTGTTCATATTTTAAAATTAAAATAATTTTTAAGATTAAAAAAATAATTTTAAATAATGTCTTTTATTTCTATAACTTGTAATAAAATTTAAAGTTAATTTATTTCAAATTATAAATAATTTCATTTATGTAATGGTGTTAATTCCAGTTATTTTTCAAATAAAAATACAATTAACTTTCTAATATTAGATTTTATAATAAATAACTTTAAAAAATATTTTTTTAACTTTATTAAAATTAATGTAGTTTGGAATTATAAAAAATTCATTTAAATTTATAAATTAATTTCATTTTTATTAAAATATAAATATTCTTAAAAAACATGAAGTAAAAATTACAAAAAATATATTTTAACTTATAGAGAATTTAATGAAAATATTTTAATTTTATAATTTTAATAAATTAAATTTATTATAGTAATAATTTAAATTTTATTTATTTTTGAAAAATAATTAAAAGTAAAAATAAATTAATAGTAATTTATAATATTTACTTTATGATTAGATTTATAATTTTTAAATTTTTTCTTTACTTATAATAAATTTATAATTAAATTTTTTTCAATTTTTTTTATAAATTTTATTATTATAACTATTTAAAATTTTAACTGAACTTTAATTGTTTTTTTTAAAATCGTTTACAGTTAAATATTATTACTTTTTTTATAATAAGAATTAGTTTTATGATTAACAAAATTATTTTAATAAAAATTCTTTTATTTTTCATAAAATATAATAAAAATTAAAAATAAATTTTTCAAATATATAAATTAATTCTATTTTATAACAGTTTTAACTATAATTACTTTTAAAAAACATTTAAAAGTTAAAAAAAAAAATTTTCTTTATCTTTTTACCAAATTTCCTATAAATAATTAAATATTTAATTCCTATAAATTTAATTTATTATTATGACCAAGTAAATTTTAATTATATTTAAAAAAACATTTACAAGTAAAAATTTGTTAGTAATTTTATAATAACTTTTATTTTAAGATTATATATAAAAATTATAAAAAATTTCATGTAGTTTCAATAATATTTAAAAAAAATAGAATAAATTTTTTCAATTTTACAAATTAATTCCATTTTTATAACAATTTTAACGATTAATATCTTTTAAATATAAATACAATTAAGCTTTTATTATAAATTTTTATTGTATATTACTTATAAAAATTCTTTCTTTAACTTTTTATAAAATGTATTAATTTTTTAAATTTAAATGTGAATTTTATTTTCTGTAATAATTTAAACTTTAATTATTTTTAAAAAAACATTTTGTAGTAAAAATCTAATAAAATATTACTTTTTACAAAAAATAAATAAAAATATAAGTAAATTTTAAAAACATTTACAAGGAAAAAATTTTATTTTATCTTAAATCATAAAATTAGCTTTATGTTTAAAAATTTCTTTTACTTTTTACAAAAAATAATATAAATTATAATTAAATTAAAAACATTTACAAGTAAAAATTCATTAAATATTTTTTAAATAAAAAAAATTTCCATTACTTTTTATAAAAAATATTTGAAACCATAATTAATTATAAACACACTTACAAGTAAAAATTTAAAAAATTTATTTTGTTTTAAAATATATATTTTTTACTTTTTATTAAAAATAATTATATTTTAATTAAATTTAAAAAATAATTACAAATAAAAATTTATTAATAAAAATTATTTTTATTTTAAAAAAAATTTCTTAACTTTTACAAAATATAAATACAATTATAATTAAACCAAAATCATTTACAATAAAAATTTATTAATATTTTTTAAAAAAATTAGTTTTATATAAAAAATTTCCTCTACTTTTTTTACAAAAAACAGTTAATTCAATTTTAAAAATATTTACATGAAAAATTTATTAAATAATTATAATAAAAGAAAATTTTTAATAAGTTTAAAAACGTTTAATAAAATTTATTGTATTAAATTACTATTTTAGTAATATTTACTTAAATGAAATTATTGATACTAAAGTAATTTTTTTCAAATACTAAAAATTTTTTACTAAATTCATAATTTTTGCTTGTATTTTATTTTTATAGCATATAAAAAACTTTTTTTTTTGTGAAATCTAAATTTTTTTAAAAGGATTACTAAATTCTTTAAAATTTCTTACGCTTTTCATGATACTATAATTTTAATTTTTTATTATATTTTATATCAGAATGTCAAGTATATAATAAGCTATTCTAATTATAAATTAATTAGTTTTAAAGAGTTTATTAATAGAAATAATTTAATTTTTCTTACAAGCGTTACTAAATTTTTTTTTTTACTTTTTTATTATATATACTATTTTATTTTTTATTACAAAGTAAACTATATAAAAACTTTTTATAGAGTAAAAAAATTAAAAAGATCCAGTGAAAAATATCAATGAATTTTTTTTTAAATAATAACACTTTTTTAATATCAATATATTTTTATGTTTATTTATTATTATTATTTACTTTGAAGGTTGATAGTTGCAATGTCTGTATAATAATTGAGAATAATAAAAAAATATATAAAGTTGTGTGCTATAAAAATTATATAATAGTAGTAATAATAATTGTATATCATATAAAAACTTACGAAATTTATAAAAAATAATAAAATAAATTTGTCGTAAATATACTAATAATATAATTTATATGAAAAATAAAATAAAAAAATAATTATAAAAAAAAATCTTTTTATAATATTTTATTAATTTTATTAAATAATAAAAAGATTTTATTTTTTCAGTAAATTTTATTTTGTTTTATTCCAAATTCATTACTGAAAATTTTTTTGTCATGATTTTTTTTTAAAACTTAAATTATTTATAGCAACTATTAATAAAACTATTTTAACTTATAGTTAAAAATATATTACTGAATTATATAACATAATAACATTTTTTTCATGAATTAATATTAGAAAACTTTGTTTAAATTTTTTTTAACGTAAATTCTATAGAAAACTTTTTACAATTAAAAGTTATTAATTTTAAAGAGTTCATCAAAAAACAAAGATTATATTTTTTTTAATAAAATACTTAATTCTTTTTTTTTATTACAGTTTTCTTAGTGTATTTTTTTTAATATATATATTTTAGACAAATTATTTATAAAAAATTTATAAATTTCTGTCAAAAATATAAGCGAATTATTTTAACATAATAACATCTTTTTAGTGAAATAATATTTTAAACTTTTTTTTATTTTATTAATTTTTTTTATTTTACGATTTTGGATACCCAAAAACTTAAAAATTATCATAAAAATATTATTATTTTGAAGTACTTTTATACCAGCATCATTATATTATTTTATTTAGGAAATCAAGTTTTTTAGAGAAAAATTCATATAAATTATTTTTACCAAATTTTTTAAGAAAGGAATTATATTAAATTGATATTTGTTCATATTTTTTATTTATTTTTAATTCTAAATTTGTTGTTAACTGAACAATTTTTTTTATGATACATTATTATTATTTTTATGCACATCTTTTTTTTATATTTGCTTTATTATTTTTAATTTAAGTAAAAATAGTAAATTTTTATATTTTAATTTTTACTATAAAATTTTTACGTTATCTTATTTTTTATATTTTATTATTATTATTATTATATAAAATAATAACTATAGAAAATATTGAATATACTTTTTTTCCTTGTTATCATTTTTTTTTAATTTTTATTATAAAAATATATATTTATAAGATTTTTTTTCTTCCTTTTATTACTATCTAATTACTATTATTAGAAAATTTTTCATATTACATTTTAATTATTATTATGAAATAATAACCCTCTTTAAAAAATATTTAACATTATTTTTTACAATAAAAATTTTTATATATTCTTTTTATCATTATTATTATACTATTGACTTTTTTCTTATACATGTTATTTCTATTTTATTTTTTACTACAAAAGTTTTTTTATTAATATTATTTTTTATACTTTTTTTAATTATTAATTTTATTATTATTATACCAAAACAGAAAGTCGAGCATTTTACTTTCGAGCGCCGTTAAAGACGGCATTTCTATATTTAAAGCGAATATTTACGATTATGGGCTGCTCACGACTCCGCAACTGCATTACATGGAAAAAATTTATTAGCAATAAATAATATAAAAGTTTATATTAAAAATAAAAATAAAAATATAATAAAAAAAAATAAACAATAAAATAATTGTATAAAAGTTTATTATAAATTAATAAAATATGTACTATTATAATAATATTAAAGTTAATCATTTAAATAATAAATAAATAGTAATAATAATAAATTGTATAAAAGTTTATTATAAAAATTATAAAGTATATAAAAATATAAATAATAATAATAATTGCATAAAAGTTTATTATAAAAATAATTATAATAATTTCATTTTTTTTTATGAATACTTTTTGTAGGTTTGCTGTAAAAATTGTCCGTCTTCCGGCGAAGCTACAGAATATCACTATTTTTCAAAACTTGCTGGTGCTTTCAAAAAACTTGTGAACAGAAAAGTTTTTCATTATTATTATTATTATAACTTTTATTATGAACTTTTGTTTGTCCCGCTTATTTTTAATTATTAATAATATCCATATACTTATTATACTTATCATTATTATATATTTTTATTTTTCATTATTTTAGTTGTTCCATAAATATTTATTTATTGGTTATTAACATTTTGTAAATTTTTTGTAATACCAATGGCGTTGCTAAAAGTTTTCTTCATTAATATTATTGGCAAATAAATATGATGATACGCTAATAGTGTAGCGCTATTAAAGTTATTTATATTTCATCTAACTCAACAACTTTAAACTATTTTTTATTGGTTAAATAAAGTTTGTGATTATTATATGCAGTAGAAAAACATCTAAAACGTTAGAATAAAAAACTTTTCGTCAACTTTGAACCCTTTTTGATTGGTTATAGATTGTTTTAAATCTTGATTGCGCCAACGGCGTGGGAGCTATAAAAATTCAAGCATTCTGTAAGGAATTTTGTGAACTCTATCAACCACATTTGTACAATAGTGGGGCTGGAAGATTAAATCACGAGGGATATTGTTTGTTCTATAAAAATAGTGAATCATATTTTTTTTAATACATTTTTTAATAAAAGCTCAAATAATAATGAAAGTAATAAAAGAATTGAATTTTTTTTATAAGTTATTTACTTTATAATATGTTTTACTTATTAGTAATAAAAAAATAAATATATATTTTTTTACAAATAATTTTTCCTGATAAAAATAAATAATACAAAGTAAAATCTATACAAAAACTTTTTTAGTATTATGAAAAAAAATATATAATTGTAATAATATAATAATATAGAGTAATAAAAATAGAAATAATATTTATAAGTAAAAAAATACTAATAGTATTTCAAAAAAAACTTAAAAAGAAGAATAAAAGTTTATTTTGATTTTCAGTGTAGAAAAAAATAATGAAATATAAAATATAATAATAATGATATAAAAAACAAATTTCTTAGGAAAACTCTACTTTTCCTAAAAATCTTGTAGTTTAGAAACAACATTAAAATATTTTTTTCAAGATTTTAAAAGTAGTGAAAAGAAAATTTTTTTATTATTAAAAATAAATAGAAATACTTTTTGATGTACTTCTATAGGTTTAAAAAAATGAAGTTCTCGTAAAAAATAATGAATAACAAATATTTTACAATTTACTTTTTAGTATCATAAAATATAGTGGAAGTATACATCTTTTAAAAAAATAATAAAGAAATAAAATTTTACAATACAGTTTTAGTTTTTTTAACACAAACTTACAACCTTTTTTTGTAATAAGAATAAACAAAAATTTTAATACACTCAGTATTCTAAATAAAATAATAGAAATATAATTTTTCTTTATAGCAATAATAAATAATATTATATAATATACTTTTAGTTTTTTTAGAAAATATTACACTACTACTTTTATTGTTCTTATAGAAACTTTTATATAAAAATAATAAATAAATATTATGCAATACATTTCTATTGTTGTAAAAGTATTAATGAAATTTAAAAAACACTTTTTTATGTAAAAAATAAAGAAAGTAAAATATTGTACGATACATTTTTATATTTTAAAAAAATAATAAAAATATCAACTTTTCTATGTAAAGTAATAAATAAAATGTTATACAATAAACTTAGAAAAAATAGTATTAGTATAAACTCCTTAATAAATATAATAAAGAAATAAAATATTATATAATACGCTTTTCATAAAATAATAAAGAAATAAAAATTTACAAGACACTTTTGCTCAAAAAAAATAATGAAATAATTTACTAAAAAATGATGTTTTTAAAAATAACGAAAAATGAAAAATAGTTTAACAAATCCCAATTCGCTTTTAGTGTGGAGCTGATTATGTTAAGCTTCACCAGCAGCCGCCACGTGGGATGCTCTTGAAGGAAGGTTCGATTTTTTTAATGGAAGTTTACAATTATTGATTATTTTTTTATTTTATTATTCTTATTTATGAATTTTATGAAAACTTTTAATTACAATTTTTTATTATTTTTTTATTTTTAATGAAAGTTTTATTGAATTTGTTATTCTATTATTATTGAACATATTTTATTTTTTTTATTTATTATTATTTTCTAGTTTTCTATAAATTTTATGAAAACTATTTAAAAGTTTATGTTATATTCGCCATTAACTTTTATTAAAGTATTATGAAAGTTTATTATTGCTCAACATATTTTATAATTATTAATATTTATGATAATTTTTTATTTATTTTTTATTTATTTATTATTATAATGGTTTGTTATATTTTATTAATTGTTAGTAACTTAATATGATTTATTATTTTGTTTACTATTATTTTATTATTATTATTTATTATATTTATCAAATTATATTTATTATATTGTTATGTTTAGTGCTTGATTACTTACTATTATAATTATTCTAAGGAGATCGCTGCGCTTCTATAGATGGCGATGCTGATAGAATTCTTTATTTTTATATTAATAAAAGTAACTTTTCATTGTTAATTTTGTTAGAATTATTGTTATAACTTTTGCATTATTATTTTATAATTAAACAGACCAAAAGTTTTGCTTGCTTGATGGTGATAAAATAGCAGTTTTGCTTTCTGGTTTTTTTCCTTATTTTTTTTGTCTTATTAAAGTTATATTATTGGTCCAAAATTAACGGGTCACTACACTTTTAAGGATTTCTTAAAGATATTGTTAAAGACCTCCACATGGAAAATATTTCTGTTGGACTTGTATGTTTCTTTATGAGGTTTTTTATAATTTTTGCGCCAAATGTTGAATTTATAAAAAATAAGATTCAAACGGCGTATGCTAACGGGAACTCAACGGCTTATGCAAAAAATATTTTGGTTTTATTATTATTATTATCATTATCATTATTATTGTTATTGTTATTATTATTATTATTTATAGGAAATTCCTGTGATTTGCACGTCTACTGGAGTAAAATATTTGCATCAGAAAGCAAAAGAATATGATATTGGTGTCTACTTCGAGGTTTCATTATTATTTTTATTACTATTTTTATTATATTTTTAAGAAACTTTTAATAATAATAAAATTATTATTACTATAATTTTTATTATTATTATTTATTAAAAAGATAAATATATATATATAACAAGAACTTTTTATTCGCATTACGAAGGTGCTTACTATTATTAGACTTTTATTATTATTATTGTTACTATGATTATATTATTAATACTATAACTATAATAATTATTACTGAACAATAATATATATGTATTATAAATAAAAATTTGTTACTATTTTTATTGTATTTATAATACTTTTATTATAATTATTATTGTTATATTTTTAATACTTTTTTTGTTATTATTATACCACTATTACTATTATTATTAAAAATATAGAAATATTTTTAAAATATACTTTTTAATATATATTACGAACATTTTCTATATAGTCGAATGGGCACGGAACTGTTCTTTTTAGCGAACGGCTGAAGAAGACCATAAAAACTTTCGAGCTTTCAAGGTTTGCTTATAAAAAACTTATTAACCAACTTTATAGAGCTTATTATTATTATTATTATTATTATTATTATTATTATTATTATTAAATATTGGTGATAAAAAAGGCGGTACTTCAGCGTTCAACACTTTCCCGCCAAAATAAGCCAATTACTTAGAAAAGCATAAAACAAAAATTACTTGTGCCTTATAAACTTTTAATTGGACGAAAAATTGGTTATTTGGTTCTAAAGGTGTTCTGACTAATAAAATTTGTACCCAAAAATAACGGGCCCACGTAAATACTTTTTTATTATGATAATTTTTGTAAATTTTTTATGAAACTTCTTTTTTACGTTGAATAATGCGTTTAATGAAATCTTTTTAAAAAAATTGATACAAAAATATTTAAAAGATACAAAATATATTAACTAAGGAGTATTATAAGTAAAATATTTAAACTGTTTATCATAAAAAATATAAGTAATAAATGTTAACATTTTTATAGTTTGAGTACTTTTCAGCAGGAAAAACTGAACGTTCTTCGAAATATAATTGAACTCACCAATGAAACTGTGGGCGACGCACTTTCGGATTGTTTATTGGTGGAGTCCATACTTTTTCTGCGAGGATTTTCGTACAATGTTTATGCTTTTAAAATATTACTAGAAAACTCTATAAATGATTAATGTTTATAGTTTAGAAGATTGGAATAACCTTTATGATGACCTGCCCAACCGCCAATGCAAAGTCGAGGGACGTAATTTTCAGCATTTGATTGGTCAACATATTACGGCGGTTTTTTTAGGTTTCCAATCGGAATTGCATCACCACAACCGATGCCGAGCGGGTTTGCCGAACGCCACATGGTCTACAGGAAGCAATTAATGCCGTTGTTAAGAATTATACTTCCGGACGCTCGTTTGTCAGGTGGCTCTTTCAGGCGCATATTATTATTATAATTTGTAACTTTTTATATAAATTGAGCATAATTGTACTTTATTTGGTGCAAAGACCTTCAGGGACTGAAAATGTCGTCCGCGTTTATGCAGAAGCAGCAACTGAGAAGGAAGCAGATGAGCTGGCAAAAGAAGTATTATGATTATAATATTTTTGAAATATAATAATAAATATAATAATAATAAATATATAAATAATAAATAATAAATAATAAATGAAAAATAATTGATAATAAAATAATTATATAAATTAATTATAAAAAATAAAACTAATCATTGTAAATATATTAAATTAATAAATATAAATAATTAATAAATAAATAATAAATATTAAATTATAATTAATTAAAAAAATAAATAAAATGTGATACATTGTAAGTAAAAAATAATAAATAATAAGTAATGAGTAAATAATGAAATAATAACAAATAAGTAATAAATAAAAAATGATAAATAATAAATAATATATAAAAAATGAAATATTAAATTATAAATAACGAATCATAAATAATAATAATTAAATAATGATATATTAATTTACTCATTAATAAATAATAACGAAAAATAATAATAAATCAGGTTTGCGAGCTTGTCAAGAAATTTACTGAAAAAATATAGAGGTCTACAAATTTTAGTTTAGTAATAAAAACTACGTGATTACAAGTATTACAACTTTTTTTTATGTTTGCCAAAAAATCTTTTTTATATAGATTTATTCATAAGATTTTAAGTTCTAAATTAATTACTTCTAAAAAAAGAACAAAAGTTATCAATTCTCATCTAAAATTTTTGAAAATAATTATTTAAGTATTCGTTAAATAAACAATAATAAGATTTAAAAACTATTGTTTATATATTTAATAATTTTTATAAAATATTATATAAAATTTAGAAAAATACTAGATTCTGATTTACAAACTATTATTGGAAGTTATATAATAAATTATTTTAAGAATATTGATTTAAGAAAAAAAAAATTGTAGTGTAATATTTTCTAGGAAAACACAATATTATTTTTTGTTTTGAAAACTATTGAATGGAAATTATATTATAAAATTTTAAAAAAAATTAATTTCAAAAAAAAGAATATTATATTTTAGTATATTTTAGAAAAACACTAATAGATTCTGATTTAAAAACTATCGGATGGAAGTTGTGTCATAGTTATTTTTAAAAAATTAATTTCCACCAAAAGAAAATTTTATAATAGTATTTTTAGAGGAAGGCAGTGGTAAATATTAATTTTATTTTATTGAATGAAAACTGTGTTATAGTTTATTTAAAAAGATCAATCCTAGCAAAAGAAAATTACATTACAGTATATTTAGAGAAAAGCAGTAATAAAGGTTAATTTCAAATTGTTGATTGAAAACTATATTTTACTTAACAAGATCAATTCTAGCAATAGAAAATTATATTGTAACCCAAAAAAAAACAGTAATAACTTTCTATTTGAAAACTATCGAGGAAAAATTATATAGCTTATTCAAAAAAGTATTTTTTGCCCTAAATAATATCGAAATTTGTAGTTTCATTAATATAATACCTTATAATTTCTGATCTAAATACTTTTAAATGGAATTTATATTTAAATAAAATATTCTCTGCTTTAAAAATAATCGAAAAAAGGTTTTATATAACTTTCTTTAGAAAACAGTTTTATAAATTCTAATTTAAATACTTTCGCCGGTAAAATATATGCAAAAGATGGAAAGGTGATATAAATCTAAACTTGAAGCATTTTTTATAAAAAAGATTATTAAATTACTTTCTCTAAATAAATTTAAAATTTAAAAGCATTTGATAGTAATATTGTATTAATAAAAACTAGCCTAAAAATGACTTTTTTATTATCTTATATATATACTTACTATTTTTAACCTTTACATTTTATATATATATATATATATATTAGTTTACTCCTTATTTTTTATAAACTTTGTTATGTATTTCTACTCAGATAAAACTTATTATTATTAAGTTTTATATTTATTTTATTATATAATTTTATTAAGCTCTTGTTTTTTAACTTTTATTATATATACTTTTGTGCATTTCTTGGTTTCATTAACTTATAATTTTTTTTGTTATTTTTAGTTTATTTTCTTAAAATATATATAAAAAGATCCATAGTAAAGAGGAGACGGATTTTCCTCATTTCCATATTTTTTTTTCTCTTTTTTTTTTTGTTTACTTCTTTAATGCATGCAAATGTGCGACGAGTTGAGAGTAGGTTATTAAAAAAAGTGCAGTTTTGAAAAACAAATTATTAGAATTTCGAGGGATAGCAACAAATTTATCACTTTAGATAATTTAAAAAGAGTTTTCACATGCAAAAGTTAAATAAAAAGAATAGAATATACTTTGCTTTTTTCATGTCGAAAGATCATAAACGCTTTGCAATAAGTACGTCAACATAGATGTTTACAAGACATTGCGCTCTTAAATATGAATTTTATAAGTTTAGAATGAAACTTGAAAATTGTAAATTCACAAAAAAAAACTTAAAAATATAACTTAAAAAAAAGTTAGTAAAGAAGGCTTTTGGAAGTGTGCGAACGAAATCAAGATTTTAAACACACCAAGTAAAACAAAAAGGAACAGTGCGGTTTGTGGTAAGTCGGAACCTTTAAGTAGAGAATAAATTTAAATTTTATTTAAAACGATGAAGAAAAGTTTGCTTTGGAGAAGATTTTTAAGATATTTGAATCTGAAGTATGCCTGAAACAAGTGAGGCTTAGTAAAGATTTATTTATAGATTAACGCGAGCGATATCAAGATGTGAAAGACCCCTACCTCAACTTTATGAGGTCCAGTCTCGAAGAAATTACAGTAAAACTATTAACTTTTTTAATATGAAGGGAAATAAGCTAATTATGAAGTCTAACTTTAAAAGTTTTAATGAAGCGGATAATAAAGTTTTAAAATATGCATATTTAGTATAATACATAAGTAGGTTACATTAATGAAGTTAAACCACTATTAAGTCATGTTGCAAAAAACGTAGAAATAAAGATAGTAAGAGTAAAGTTAAGAAGAAAATCGTTTACAAGGAAAGAAGCTAAGATTTTAGAACTTTTGAGAACAACCAAACTTATTACACGTAAATATAGCGCTTTATTATGAAAAATAGAGCAAAATTTGTTTTCTTTTAAGAGAAAGATGTTCTACTTATTTTCCTGCAAAAATAAATGACGACAACTAAATATTGTTAATTTATGAACGTAGACATTTTAAAGACGTCAACGAATTTCATAAAAATAAACCTACGAATTATAAAATTTAACGGATCTGCAGTGAAGTGAGAAAATATACTACTGCCATAACAGTGTAAGCTATTTAAACTTTTTAGAGATGTTTAAAAGTGACTTTGATAAAAGATAAGACTTAGATGGAAATGGTTAATGACTTTGTTAACGTGGGCATTGCTCCCTTTTTTTTTATTTTTAAGGATTCGAAAATGCGGAAGTTAATTTTCTTAACTCTTGTCAAGGAGAATAGTAGTTACAGAGATTACAACTGAGAAAATTGATACTGAATCCTTTTATTTCTTTTTTATTAGTTTTCATTATATCTCCGGAAATACAGTTTCAGACAAAAAGTGCACCCATTTTTATAATTTTCATATAAAAAAATTCAACCAAATTAAATTTTACATATAAAATCTTTTATTTTATTTATATTAGTTTTCATTATTTCTCCGGAAATATAAATATCAACCATAAAAAATTTAAGTATACAATTTTTAATTTCATTATTACTAAATTTGATTATTTCTCCGGAAATACAATTTCCCTGTTTCATAACTTGAAATCATTATAGCACAAGCAGGCGCAACTTTAGCAAGGCGAGGCACGATGCCAACGAACAAACCACTGAAGCCTTCCCGTAACGCAATTTCTTTTAGCAGCTTAATAGTAATATTCAGTAGTAATTAAGGGTAATTGATGATAATTAAAATAATAATAAAAATAAATAAAAGAGAAAAAATATAATAATAATAATTGGTAATAATAATTAAGTATTAATAATCATTGTAATAACATGAGATAATATAATAATATCTAATGATTGTAATGATACATAATAATACTTTCAATTATTTATTATAATAATATCTAATAATGATAATTAATTTAATAATAGTGGGAATAATATATAATAAAATAATAACAATATCTAAAAGTAAAATAATATATAATAATATTATATTTAGTAATAATTATTAATGATTAATAATTATAGTAATAATATAAAATAATATTATAATTGCTAATTAGTAATAATAATATCTAATAATTATTATAATTATTAATTGTAATGATATATAATATGGTAGCAATAAAAAGTATAAATAATAATAATTAATGATATTAAAAATATGATAATAATAATTATTAACACAATAATTATAATAATAATTCTAATTATAATTATAATATATTAATAACTGTAATATATAATTATTATAAGTAAATAATTAATAATGAAATTTTATAGTAAGTATTAATAAATAAAAATAATATAAAATATATAATGATTACAAGTAATAGTAATACTAATAATACTAATAAAAAAAATATTTTGTTTAATAATAATAGTTAACGGAGATAATAATAATTAATAATTATTCTGAATTATGAAATTAATAATAATATATAATAAGAACAGCAATAATAATTATAAATAAAAATATAACCCGTCTCATTGGTTGAGGTTTCGAACCATGGGTCCAATCAATTTGTTTATAAGTTTTTACAACGTCGAATGGCAAAGTTAGCGTGGCAGCAATAGCACCACTAACAGCGCCCGCAAAAAAGGAAGAAATAAATTTCTGCTTCATTGATTCGCATGAGTAATAATTATTTTTAATATTATTTTTATTATTATCGATTGCATTGTTATTATAATTGCTGAATCGCGAGTGATGATTAAAAAAAGTGTTCATTATTTTTTCATAACAAGCCCAATAAATAGCTGAAAAGGGAACGTCTCGCAAGAGAGTCGGACCCAATCCTAACAATTTATTAATCAGTAATAATTTAAAGTTCATAAATTATATAAAGCACAACTATTAAATCCACACCTTTGTATAAAGAAAGTAATCCCTGTTCCTTTACCATTAAACTTATTTGCTTTGCAAGAGCTTGCATTAAAAGAAAAATTTAATTAATGAATAAAAAAATTATAATAGTATATAATAATTAATTAACTAAAAATTAAAATTAGTATAAAAAATAAATATAAATACGTAAAAGTTGTTATACATTTATAAATTGGAGGCTTAAATTCGTGCATTGACTGCGCTTTGGTTCTTATCATTTCCAAAGGAGAAATCAAAGAAGAAGCTCCAACTAAAAAAAAATGTTTATTAAATTATGAATTATAAATAAAACTATGAACTTTTAAAAAAATTAAAAACATTTTTTAAAAAAAAATAGCACAAATTATTTAGTAGAAACCAAACTATTCATAAAACTAATTATTAAAAAACGGATCTTAATATAATTTTTTTATAAAAAGTAGTACAACTTTTTTTTAAAAAAACACAGTAATATGCAAACTAAGTTAAAAATAGAATCTTTGCTTATTTTTCAATAAAAATTAGTACAGCTTCCTATTGCATTCTATATTATACATAAAACTAGTTTACTTATTGTACTGCAAAAAAAGTACATTTTTCTTAATAGATACTAAATTATATGAAAAACTTGTTAAGGAATCATTTCACATTCATTTTAAAAAATTTAGTATAATTTTCTTTATAAATTCCTAAGATTCGAAAAACTAAATAACTCTATTTTTAAAAAAATTCTGTAATGTACATAAGACTAAAGGGAAGCTAAATATTTTTTTAATAAAATTTAGTTTTTTTTTTTTATCTAATTATTACTAAGAATATTTTTAATATAAATTTTAAAAAATTATATGCAAGGTGTTTAATGAAAAAATATATTAGCAAACTTTACTATAAATTTAAACAAAATTATTTAATTAAAATATTAAAATAACTACCACGCGCCAGTACACCAGCCAGAAACGCACCGTTAACGGCACCCAATTTGCTTGAATAAGTATCTTTCAGAACATCGTATAAAGAAAAATAAACTACTGTCGCAGGGATAGCCATTAATCTTGAAGTATATAAAGAAATAAATATTTTAATAATAATAAAAAACATATAAAAAAAATAAAATTTTAGTAAGAATATTAATATCCATATATAAATAAAAAATGAATAAATAATAAATTGAAAGATTTATATAACAATGTCGGTGGGAGGCCTCTCCATAAAGAATATACACCTTCGGTTGATGAAATCTTATAAAAAGCATCCTAAAAATTGTTTTTAAAAAGAATTTATTTATATAAACTATCATAAAGAATGTATATATACAAGTAAAAAAGTTTATTAATACAAAAGTTCCTGTAAATTTAACAGAAGAATGGTGGCAGGGATGACTCAACGGCTCGAGTAATCCATTACAAAATATATAAGAGCAGCGTTCGGGTATAAGTCGGCCGCCGCCTGCTGACTGCTGGGCTTGCAATCTCGTCTTTACCACATCAAAAGGCGTCACTTGTTATTATATTTTTTTATATGTGGGTAAATATTTTTAAAATAAAAAAAAATAAAAAAAAAAAATAATGAACAGAGAAGCTGTACTAAGTACGGCCGTAACCAAAGCCCCAGTGCAAGATGCTAAGACCTGCTGATAAAGTGTTATGGGATCCCCATTATGTTGCATTTCCTTTCCTTATAAAAATCCTCAATATTTATTTTATACTTTTATAAACTTTCCTGTTAAAATAATTACTAAAAAGTAATAAAAACTGATCGGCAAGGTAAACGTTTCTCGTGAATCCCACCACGTGTGAATATTAGATTTCGACATTAGTTTTTTGTTTTGTATTTTTATTAAAGCGTTTACTGACTTTGTTTCTTTTTTTTTTTGAATAGTTTATTTTATAGTTTAAGTGATCATTTAACAAGACTTTTTTTTTACTACAATAATCTACTTAGTTTATGTTAATATTATTTTTTTACTTTAAATTCTGAACTTTTTATGCTCGTTAGTTATTATCAAAGGCGCATAACTTATGTTAAGTTAGTAGGGAAAACTTTTTACGTGGGAGAGTATTAAAAAAATTTTTAAGAATACTTATAACACCCAACATTTGCTCAATAAAGAGATTGTTATAAACTTATTTTCATTTTGGAGAAAAGAAAGGAAACCCAATAATAAATGGGAGAGTCTTTCAGGTATCAACTTCTGACTTTCCGCTAATTTTTAGGATTAAGTTATTCGGAGAAGTGGAGGAACTATTATTACTATACAATCACTACGAGTTTTACTGCGGTACATGGTTTACACTTTGCTGAAGCATCTGTTAGAAGACTAAATAGAAGTTAACAAACTGCTCATGTACATGAACTTTGGTGCAGAGTTTTATACAGTCTTGCAAATTCTGTACTTTATTAGCAGGTCGTTCACTTAGCTTTTATATCTTGTTGAGGAAACAAATATAAAAATCTTCACTGATATTAGCTAGAAAAAAATTTTCTTAAAGCCAATAGCATGGAAAACTTAAGTATAACTAATAAATATTATAATATTATTATGGATTTTGTAAAATAAATAATATTGTTACTTGTTTATAATTATATTATTCAGATTAAAAGTAAGAAGGCACTAAATATAAAGTAGAGTCTTATTTAAAATTAAAATTGCTTAAAGCGCATCATCAAATTTAATTATTGTGTTTCCTTGATTGAAATAAACTCCTTCATTCTTGTAGTTTATTAGCTCTTCCAAAACTTCCTGAAAACGGTTTCCGTCGCAAAACTTTATTAAATTCAATACAACTTCATATTTTTTTTTTAAAGCGCTTGCTTCTAAAATATAAAAAAAAACTGCCTGTTAAGTAATTACTAAGAAATATTATTTAGCTAAACTTGCTTCAGTGGAGCGATCAAGAATATAATTTATAAAGTCCTGGTTTTTCAGCAGCTCCTTAACGTTAAAGGAAAAGTGAGTAATAATAAAAGGTATAATAGTAGTTTTGATTAATATAAGTATAATATGTACAATTTAAAAATAAGAATAATACTAATGCAAATTAAATTGGTAAGAATAATAAAGATAATGACAATAATAATAACTTTTGCGGAGAATTCATAATAAGAAAAAACATCAAAACACTCGATAACTGCAAAACGCGTTTCTTCATACAAAGAGTGTCCCAAAACGCATAACTGCTTCACAATCTTTTCATTACTAAAGAAAATCCGTAAAATAGGTATTAAAAAAATTTCATTGCATTCCTCTTTTCTATTACTGATAAAAAGATTGAATGAATTTTAGCAAAAATGCTGAGACGCTTCGAGCTTATAAAGATATGTGCGGTGATTTTTTTTTGTGTGAAAAATTAAGACACAGCAGAGTTATGAGTCTTACAACTTTCGAGATTAATTTAAGGATAATAAATAAATATATTTTTAAATTTAAAAAAAATACTTCTATATTACTATTAATATAAGTTTTTTACTAAGAAAATTTAATTTAAATTTTAAATTTAAAAATTCTAATGAGATTTAAAGTGGATCATAAAAATGTTTATAAAATAATAAAAATAATAAAATGTTTTTAAAGCTTTCAGAGAAAAAGAATTCATATAAAAAATTAAAATTAAATTCTGGCGAAATTCTTTTTTTGGTTTACTTTCCATTGTAATGATGCATAAATAGAACATTGTTAAACACGTTAACAAAAAGTGGAATTTCCTTCGCTTTTCGGGCTTCCAAATTAATTTAGAAATTAAATTTCTTGGTTGAAGTATAATTTTCTAACTTTAATGAATTTTTAAAATTAAAATCTTTACCCCCTTTTTTATGTATAACAATCTATTAGAAAAAAAATTTTGTAAATATAATTTTGAATCTTAAATGTTGCACTGAAAAATCTTTCCAACCTTTTTTTCTTGTATAAAAAAAATCTACTTTAAAGTAAATTTCTGAAAATTATATTCTTATATTGTTAAAATTTACTTTTTCCAAAGCAATTTTTTTATAGTATAACAAAATCACTTAAAGAAAAAGTTTAAAGCACAGATCTTTTATTAAACTCTTAAATTTTTGCATTGCAGTTCGTTTTATTTTTCTGGAATAAAAAATTCACCTTCTAAGATTATCAAAACATTAAGTTTTTTAATTTTAAATATTAAATCTGCAAAGCAAATCTTGTTAGCTTTTTTTTATAATTCGGAGGTTAATTTTTTCTTATATTTAAATCTATAACTGTTGATCTAAAATTATGCAGAAAAACATATCAGCCTTTATTTGGTATAAGAAAAACAATTTATAAAATAAGTAGTAAAACTTTAAATACTTTAATCTTAAATATAAAATATAACATAGAAAATATTTTTAAACTTTTTTTTTATAGTAAAAGAAAATTAAATTAAAGGAGATTCTTAGAACAATAATTTCTTTAATTTAGCTCTAAAATTTTGCAATCCAACTGTTTGAGTCTTTATTTTATAGAATAGGAGATTTTATTTTATAGATTATTATACTATAACATTTATTTATTAATGTTAATTATTAAAAGCGCACTGCAATTATTTTTAGTTTTTATTTTATAGTATAAGAAAATCTAATCTAAATAAAATTAGTAAAACAATTATTACTCTAAATTTTACATAAACTTTTCCACCTGAAAATCTTTTTGGTCATTTTTCTAGGGTATAAGGAATAGCATTATATAGATTATTATAACATTTATTTCTTTATACATAAAGTTTGCAGTGCAACATTACTAGTCTTTCTTTTATAGTAAAAGAAAATTTTTCTATAGATTTTTAAACTAAATCAATTTTATTTATGAAACATAAACTTTGCAAGGCATATCACGTTTAGTCATTTTCTATTGAAAAGAAAACTATTTTTTTAAAGAGTAGCAAACTTTAATATTTTCAAATATAAATATAAAAATTTCACACTGCAAATTTTTTTATCTGTTTTCTATAGTATACCAAAATTTATTTAAAAAAATATTAAACAATGATGTCTTGCATTTCCTTTCAGTCAATTATAGTAAAAAAATTTATTTAAAATTTTCTTTTTGAAATTGGTCTACTTGTAAATCTTAAATTTTGCACTGCGCATCTTTTTAGTTTTTTATAATAAAAAGAAAATCTAATTTAAAAGAAATTTTTATAAATATAATTTCTTAAGTTTTAATTCTTAAGTTTGCACTGCAATCGTTTCAGCATTCTAGTAATAAATGAAAATATAATCGAAAAGAAACTTTTAAAATATTAATAATTTTTTGATTATAAATCTAAAATTCTTTTTAGTGATTTATTAATAATAAAATAAAATCTATTTTAAACGAAGTTTTTATGAAATTAATCTTAAATTTGTACAGCAAATCTTTTTGGCCTTTTTTTGATATAAGAATGTTTATAAGCCTGAATAACAATGAAGGTTACATTGAACAACGTAACCCTTGCAGCTGCGATAAGTCAACAAACCTAAAGAGAGCGGTTATGACGTGAAGACACGTGCTCTGAAGCTCAGTGCTACCGGAGTATATAAATTGGAAGATTTGATTGGTTAGATCAGGATTTTGGAGAATTTGAATGGCGAGGGGAGAACAGGATATTGGGAGGAGCGCCCTCATGGCGGCCAGCTGGTAACGTACATATATAAAATTTTTATAGTAAATAAAATATAATTTAATTCAAAAAAAAAATTAAACGGAAGAAAATGGTATAAATAAAGAAAAACCAATAATAATAATAATAAATATATTTATAATAAAAATAATATTAAAATAATGATTTTTAATATATAATTAAAAAATCGTAAAAATATTGATAAAATAAATTTTATTATTAAGTAAGAGTAAAAAGTATAAAAATAGTTATAAAATAAATAAATAAATCCTAATAATGAAAGTAGTTAAAAGAAGTAATAACAATAACAACAACAACAACAACAATAATAATAATAATAATAATAATAATAAATAATAATAATAATAATAATAATAATAATAATAATAATAATAATAATAATAATAATAATAATAATAATAATAATAATAATAATAATAATAATAATAATAATAATAATAATAATAATAATAATAATAATAATAAACTTTATAAGACTCGTCCAATTGCAAATGAGCAAGAAAGGCTGAAAGCAAATCCAGTTTAGAAAAGATTTCTATAACTTCTTCGTTGCGTTGCTAAAAAAAAAGGTTTTTTTAACATATTTACTTATAATAGTTTATATAATTATAAAAAATATACAACTAATAATAATAATAATTAAATAATATATTAAAAAAATTAAATAGAAATAAATTTATACTCTTAAAAAAAATAAAAAATAAAATAAAAATACAGTAATAAAAAAATATATTAAAAATGTAAGCAAGCAAAAAGATAAAAAGAAAGAAATAAATTTATAAATCTTTAAGAAATTTTTTATTAGTATAATTAAAACTTTTATATAAGTAGAAAAATAAAAAAAAAGTTGATAATATAATGTTAATATAAAATATTTTTACGTTTAAAAAATTTAAAATAAATTAGAATTCAAAAAGAATTAAAAATTTTCTTTTATTTAAATAAAATTTGTTTTTTAAAAAAATATTTAATAGTAGAAAAATAAAAAAAATTAATAATTGATAAAAAAAAATTTTAAAAATAAATATATTTTATAGTAAGTAAATAA